TCCAAATTGGGAATGCAAAGTGGAGGACTTTCCCACCACCTACCTTGGTCTACCCTTGGGACTGGGAAAACCAAAAAAGAGACAGTGGTCTAAAGTGATAGACAAAGTAGACAGGCATCTAGCAAGACGACAAGTGAGATATCTATCTCTGGCTGGCCGCACCACACTGATTGAAGCAACCCTAGCAAATGCTCCGGTCTACCTCATGTCCCTCTTCCGTATGGCAGCCTCAGTGGCCAACTGCCTTGACCAGCTAATGAGGAATTTCCTCTGGTCAGGACAACCCAAGAAAACCAAATGCCACTGCATCTCATGGGACAAGGTCTGCCTACCCAAACTTCAGGGAGGGCTAGGGATTAGGATCCTAAGAAAACACAACTTGGCCCGACTAGGGAAATGGTTGTGGCACTTAGCCACTCAGACCAACTCCCTCTAGGTTCAAGTCATACGCAGCAAATACAGGATTTTGGAGGAAACTTGGGTGCCTGAACGGAGACGTCCAAGTAGGGCTTCAGGGGCATGGAAATCCTTCGCCTCCTCCCTCCCTTTGATCAAAAAATTCATCTGATTTCATCCTAGAGAAGGATCAAGAGTCTTCAGGTCAGACCTCTGGTTAGGACACACTCCCCTAAGGGCCCTCTTTCCCTCCCTTTACTCTCTCGCCTCTAACAAAGATTCTACCATAGCAGCCGAAGAGTTTGGAATCCCTTTTTCAGAAGAAATCTCACTAACAAGGAAACTAGCCATTTCCTTTCACTTTCGGCTACTTTGCATTCTATCTTCATAGCTCCACACGGGAAAGACTCTCTAGTTTGGACTCTCGAGCCTTCAGGCACCTTCTCGGTGGCATCGTTTTACAAAAGGCTTATCCAACCTCCCACTTTCCAACTCAACCCTATCTCTGTCCTCTCCAAGGTTTGGTCTACCATTGCTCCTCCCAAAGTGCAGACCTTCAACTGGATTGCCTACTCTCAACAAGCCCTCACAGTTGACCAACTTCAAAGGAAAGGGATCTCAATCCCCAACAGATGCATCCTAGGAGGAATCGAATCCACACTCTTCATTCACTGCAGCCTCACTAACGACCTATGGAGCCAACTGTTACAGTTGTTTTGCCTCCAATGGGTAACTCCACCCTCGGTCAAGGTCCTTATCTCTTCGTATATTGTATCTCATTGGTCGAAGGCAGGTAAAATCTTGTGGAAGGCTGCCATCGCAGCCACCATCTGGGTTATTTGGTTAGAAAGGAATGCCAGGATCTTTCAAGGTCACAAAAACGAAGTCTCAGCACTCTTCCACAAGGTTACTTTTCTAGTAACCTTCTAGGCCTCCAACCACAAGGCCTTCTCCGAGATTTCAGCAAACTCTTTTCCCAACCAATGGGAAAACATCTTGAATATTCAACCACATAAGGTTGAAAGACCCAACAACTAGTTGCCACCCCCCGAAGGCGTCATCAAGCTTAATTTTGATGGTTGCTCTCTGGGGGAACCCTGGCCCTACTGGAGCCGGTGGTGTCTTCCGAGACCATCAACGCAATATCATGTTCACCTATTCCGAGCACTTAGGCCATGGGCCTGCTCTTGGGTCTCAAAAGTTTCAACCGCTCTTGAATCACACCTGTTGGTGGAAGGAGACGCCCAAAATGTCATTTCCTAGGCAGCCGGGAATTCACCACCCCCATGGTACCTATCTTCGATTTTTAATGAGATTGCTTACATTTGCAGGGATATGGATGTCTCATGGAAGCATATCTGGAGAATCTCCAACAAGTTCACCGATCTTCTGGCGAAAGACGGAGCTAGGGCCAAGCAGAAGACCTATTTTTTTATAAGAGACCCGACTTGTGGGTACTCTTGGATCACTCCTCTGTTCTCTTACACTCCAAAGCAATACACAAGTTAACTTTACTCAAAAAAAAAAAGTAGTTTCAATAGTTTTTTAATTTTAAACCCGTCTTTGATTTTGTGCCCTTTTTTTTTTACTTTTTATCAATTTTGAAGCTAATGACCACCTGAATAAGATTTTTGTTTTCCCTTTTCACAGTCGTGGTTTGCAAAAATAGTTGAAAACAAACTATGAACAGCCTGAGTCAAATCAAACTTACAGGGCTCCCTAATCCTAGATGGTCTCAAAGAGAGCAATTGCCAAGGTTGTCAACAACCGAGAGAAATACTGAACATAGCGAATCACCTTGTCTCATTAGGTAAGGGACTAAGGTGATCCCTAAGTCCAACCTTTCTCAATTTTTTATGGGACTTTCAGTCTATAGAGCTTTCGTTTTGCAAGTGTAATGATGCTAGAAATGAATTATACATTTCTTGATTTCTTTAAATCAATTTTTAAATCGCTTTTAAAAAATAGCATATATGTACGTACAAAGTATTTCTAAGAAATCCAATGTACATACAGTAGGCACTCCCAAGATAGGGAACTTCAAATCCAAAGATCCCATTCCTACTTCAGCTCCCGTACCGGCTCCCACTCCCAACAAATATGGGCTGACCATTACTTGATTTACTACAAACTTCCTCACTTTACAGTGTACATCGCAGCAAAAGGATGGCCTCAGATCCATGATTACATCAGCTAAGTTGCGGGATTCCATAAGGGCTAAGAAGATGAGAAGGCAGGAGATGGTAGAATTTGTTTTGACTATTCAGTTTTGGAAAAATGTTGTCAATGTAATTCGAATTACAAAGCCCTTGGTGAAGGTTTTGACAAATGCAGATAGTGATTCTAGACCTATCTTGGGGTACATATACGAGACAATGGACAATGGAAATTGCAAATGTTTTAAGCACAAGACGGGCCTTTCTGAGAAGTATTGGAAAAGTATTGATCATTCATGGGATAAGGAGCAGCATCACATTATAAATGCAAGTGCTTATTATCTTAACCCACAATGTTTTCATAACAAGGCCACATTTTCAACCCATCTCGAGGTTACCATGGCATTGTATGTACACCATGATAGAAAAGTTTTAACCACTACCCAGACAGACATATGCAAGTGAAGATTAGGAAGAAAATGTGTGCATAGCAGAATGCATTAGGCCTATATGGGCAAACGGTGGTAGTTGCCTTACATGTTGAAATGCTCCTAGGTAATTAATTTTTATTTTTATTTTTATTTTTATTAACTCATTAGTCATCAAAATGTCTCATGTTTACTAGTCTGATTAAGTACTAATCTCTAATTCTTTAAGATATATTATTCAATTTTCATTTTAAGCGGATTGGTGGATACAATTTGGTGGGAAGATCCACAACCTTCAAATTTTTGATGTCCGTATACTCTACAAGATGTGTAGTACAAGTGGCTGTAAAAGAAGAACCGGAGCATTTTCCAACACGTCCACACAAATAAGAGAAATAGGCAAGAGCATGACGAGCTAAACATCTTTGTCATTGTGCAATACAACCTGGCCATGAAGGAGAGGTAATATGCTCTTTTTTATTTTCTCAATATGAAGTGTATCCAAGTATTTGTAAAGTTCTAGTTTTCCTTACTTCTTTCTTTGGTAGTTTTATTTATGTTCACAATTTTCTAATTTTTAGGAGTTGGCTCAAGAATTTTAGGGTAGGAATACTTTGCTGGAAATTAACACCATGATGGTTGCCAAAGAAATCTAGGTTTAAAGTTGGGTTGAAGCTAAGAGGGGTAGTCAAATGGTTAGGTTAGCTTTGAGCTAGTTTCCTTGAAGTATAGAGAGACAAGGCTAGAGTATATAAATGAGCTTCAATAAGCCATGAATTAGATTGTGAAAATCTTAGATGGGGATGTGCATTACAAGAAGGAATAAAAAAAGGTTCCAAGCTTACACAGGTAGAAAATCTATTCTTACAAGCTAGGGTCCAAGGGAATCTTTCCACCAAAAGAACAGGGGATCTAACCTTTGGAAAGACTCTTCCAAACCTATGCTAGAATTATAGAATCATTATCTCTAGAAAAAGATCTAAGGAATCTCTATTCTAAAGGTAAGAAGAGGGGATCTAACCTTTGGAGAGACTCTTCCAAACTATGCAAGAATTATAGAATCACTATCTGTAGAAAATGAGTGATGGAATCTCTCTTCTAAAGGTGAAGTCCCGCCACAATTAAAACCCAAATTTTATTACACAACTTGAATTGAATTAATTATAAGCGTACACAAGTAATTATAGATGTTTGGATCCCTCTATTGAATAGCTATGGATAAGCTAGCTCTACTTTCCTGAACTTCTTAATCTTTTAGATCTTTTCAAAAATAGATAACTAGTTCATTTATAGTTTTAGGGAGGGCATACAGAACATGGAAAAAGATATTCTAGAATCTTGAACAAATTAGGAAACTCGCTTTTGAAACAATGAAGGAACCAACTTGTGAAAATTTTAAACACCTGACTTTCTAATTTATGGGGTCCACAATCTGCTAGAAGATTGATCTTTCTAGAGGGTGTCCAAGAGTCAATAATATAAGGAAAGAAACCTAACACACCAAGGAAAATAAAACTTGTAGCTAATTTTTTCAGAAAATTTCAACAAAAATTTGAAGCTTGAATATCTGAATTAAGAAAAGCCCAGAGAAGTGAGGATCATACATTTTTTGTTTTTTTCTTTTTGAGTCTTTGAGGTGAAACTGCTACATCAAGTTGCTCCAAGCAGAGCATATGGATAGAAGTAAGTAGTAGGAGAATAAAGAGTGGAAAACAAAAAAAAAATCAAATTGGTGGGAAACCCTGGCCCAAAAAAAAAGAAAAAAGCTAAGCTAATGATTCAGCAAGATCATTGGCCAATTTTGGACATGATAAAGGCTCACATCCTTTAGTCAAGATCCTTGCCCCATTATCAGCTTACCTATCTACCTAGATAGATAGGTAAGCTAAGCTAATGATTCAGCAAGATCATTGGCCAATTAGGGAGTTGTATACCTCTATGCTTCACATCATCAGCCGTGAGAACTTTGTCAAAGACTACCAATCATCTGAAGCATAGCATCCGAGAAATGGGAACGTACCATACCAACCACCCTTTGGAGGGGCTCCAAACCCCTTGGGACAGGGCATGGGCATATGATCGCACTGAGAATTTCCCTTTAGACTCATATCGCCAATAAGTCTATCAAGGCCTTGTCTGGGTAAACAAACTGAGTTCAAACAGTCAAAAAGCACACATGGTTCCATAGTCTTCAAATCGTCCAGGTTTCTTTTAAATGTCATGGCCCAAGAAACCCTTTATAGCATTCGGAGACCCTTGCCTCCCGTGCTTGGGTCACCCGATAAAGATTAGGGGATTGCCCTCGAAAAGGTGTGTCCCCACCCCATCCATAGCTCCAAAACAAAGTCTGATAATCACTACCAATTCTGATTCAAATCCCATCCCAAAATGATTTTGACGCTGATGAAATACCACGCCATAACTTGATGTCCTCAAATACCTTCTTATATTTTGCATTTTAGCTCCTCAATTTTGTTTCTATAGTTTGCATTAATTACCCTTCTCCAAAAGACCAAAACGTCATTTTCCTAGCAATACCTCGTTGATTTGTTTCACATACTTAACCCTAAACCACCTACTTGTTTAGGCTTACAAACATCTTCCAACTTGACTAGATCAATTTTGGGCATGTCGTTCTTCCCCCTGCCACAGATATTGCCTCTGTATCCTCCCCAACTTTTGTACTCCAGAAAGTGGAGCTCATAGGAGAGAGAAAATATATAGGGATGGAGCTCAAAGTTGCCTCAGTAAATGCTGCACTACCAACCATCAAAAGAAACATACCTTTCCAAGGGACCAACCTTTTTCCCACCCTTTCAATCACATGGTGCACAGATGCTTTTGTTGTTCCTGCAAATAGATAAAGCGCAAATATCTACACTGGAATTTCCCCATCTTGCATCCCAGCAAATCAGCTAACTGTTCCAAAGTCTCTTGGGAAGTATGCACTCCAAGCAAAGAACTCCTGCCCATGTTGACTCTATCATGTTATGATCACAAAAAGACAAATTATGAGGTTGTATATCTCAAAGAGATCGTCAATTCAAGGTTTGAAACCTTCCAAAAGAGATATCTGGGTAAAAAGTTCTGGCTTCGAAAAGCAGTCCGCATCAAATGCCCTCCAATTGTTCGGCTAGAGTATGAATGCCACAATGCCAAAGCCACCATGAAACAAACCCCACAAATTTTAGTTATCTAACTCTGGAGCTACAACAATCATTTGATTGATGACCTTCATTACTTGAAACAAGTATGCACAGTCTGATTTCCACCATTAGTTGAAACTCATCACATTTTCATTGCACCCCTTGACCTTGGCCACAACAAGAAATTAGATAGCCCAATAGATACGAAGAGTAGACATGGTAGCGTGATTCATCCACTTCGACATTTTCTCTCACCATGGTGCAATTCTAATTTTCCGTCTCTCTGACATTAGGTCCAACGCGTGCATTCTCAAATCTTCCCCACAAATGTAAAACCCAAGAATGCTTCAAGAAAACTCTTGAAGGAACTCTCATAACTTAACTCATTTCCTCTGTTTCCTGCATTCATCCACAAATACTTGCACACATCTGATGCTTAGGTTATTTATGTGACCGATGAGAGGGCTCCTCCTAGTCATATATATGATCGAAAAAAAAAAAACAGTCGAGCCTAGTCATACACGTGTGACAGTTCCCGCTCTCCCTTACTTCTCATCTAAAATGCATTTGTGTTGTAGTGTCACTCAAAATGTTGCATTTTGTTTCTCTAATTATGGGATACCAAAATCGTAACGTTGGGTACTAGTGGGTTGGCATATAACATCATTGAACACTTCCATTCACTTAGAATTGATTTTGCAAAATGCTCCAAAAGAGGCAAAGTGGGTAAGAAACGACCTTAGAAGAGATCATCTCTGTTGTCGCAACTTTCGCCAGCTTGGTCAAGAATGCATGATCAATGTCTCTCTCATCCATAACATGAACTGCAAATGCCATTGTCCTAAATACACCAGCCATATTTCCAAATCTCTGATTCAGCAACAGAAACCCATTAAACCAATAAAATTTTGAACTAAAAACACAAGTAAATAAAAAACAAAACACGAAAATCATCAAAAAACAATTTGAGGAAGAACACGAAAATCATCAAATTTTACCACAAAAGGAAAAACAACAAAAAACCCAATACAGAAATGAATTCAAAGTTTCAAAAATGCAAAACCTACTCTTCTTCCACCTCGAGCGGCACCCAAACAACAATCCAGAACGAGTAATGGGTTCCTAATGACAAAACAAGGACATATTAGTACACAGAGAAACGAGAAAAACATATCTTTTGGAATTAAAATGAGAAGAAGATGGGTCCTTTTGGTTCCTTACAGGGGACATATTTCTTTTAGTGCATCCATGGCAGCTTCCCTCACCAATGGGGATTCATCACCTAGAGAAGCGACCAGAACCTGTATGGCCTCTGAACCAGTAAAGTGAAACTTCAGAAAAAAGCTACAAAAAAATCATTGGAAAATAATGATAAAAATAGAGGAAAAAATGAGAACCTGGCTGGTGAAGGGAAGGTTCAAAGGGGGAAGCAGCCATGGCTTTAGAAGACAAAGACAGAGGAAATCTTTTCCACAAAGTGCTTGCTTTCTTTGTAACGATAGGGATGTAGAGAGGGGTAAGTTTTCTGCCAAACGCTCTCTTGAAGAGAGAGAGAGAGAATGGGAAAGCTTTCCACAAAATAGAGGGAGAGAAAGAGAGCTCCTTTTGCCAAATAACAATTACTCTCTCTTCAGGCCCACCGGCTCCCGCTAACTTCATGTAATTTTCTCTTAATCATTGAACGAGGACGAAGATAACGCTCAAATAACCTTATTTTAATCGTAATGACAACAAAGCCTATCCATTTCTGTGAGTCGGATCGACGATCCGGATCGTTTTCAAGTCATTTGGATTGATGATCTAAAAAAACTTAAATCAAATTAAAATAAAAGTTTATAGAGTTGGGATTTAGATGAGACCATATAAAATATTAGATAAACTAAAAAAAAAAAAATTGAAAATGATGTTTTGGGGGAACAGGTTGAGAGCTATAATACTATGGAAACCTATTCGATCCTAACTGATTTCGCATCCAAATAAACAATACGGATAGGAAATCACCAAGTTTTTAAACAATGTGTAAGATGTTTGAGATCATGAAAGGTTATTTTAAGCAGTATGCACTCTCGAGGGGTATCTTAAAAAGTGAGAAGCAAAAGGTTAAAACAAAGCCAACGACGAAAAGAAAAAGTAAAGCCCTCATATCTAATTGAAATTTGTTGGAAAATAAAAAAAATAAGGATTTTTGCATATCTTATAATAGATTATCTAGATCGTTTATTTTATAGTATCCATGGATTTGTAAAATATATGTCATTTTTGGAACTTCAAATTTCATAATCATAAGTAAAATTAGATTTTCGAGCCATCATGGGGGTTCATACGTGAGAACTACATCGTCTAATGAGCTTTCGAAGTGAAACTTTGCTTTTTTTCCTAGAACTTGGGCCAAGTAAAAATTGCAATCTATTGATATTTGGTTTATAAAATTAGAAAGTATACAACGGGTGACACACACAAACACTTTAGTTATTAGATATCAAATCAAACATCACATATATCAACCTGTTAGATTTCACATTCAACAAATAATGATGATTATGACCTTCTTGTACTATAGTATATATTACCTAAAGAGATTTTGAGATCAATCAAGGACAATGGGAAATGAGACAGACAATGAATAAGGACAACCATGAAAAATGCTTATTTATGGTTACAAGTTTTGAAGGAACTTACCGCCCCAAAATAAAATAAAAAAACATTGCTCAAAAGGGACATGAGATCTAAAATAAGCGAATGGAAGCAATATAGGAAAATGGAAGAAAGTTAGTTTATTTAGTGAGCTATAACAACTCCAAGAGAGAGGCAACACCCGTGGGAGCAAAAATGTATATTTGTTTCTTCAGACGGAACCTTGGCATGAAATGTTTTTAAGATCATCAAATTTTAAGTTTGTGACGTGCTTAACCAAGTCACTATATGAAAGACAAGGAATGTACATCATAGAGGTGCTAGAAAGAGTTCACAACCTAATTAATAAGAAAAGATGAAGTATAAAATATGATTATTTCTTTTCATTATAAGGAGGTTATGATCGCCATTAGATATGAAATATAGATATTATGGATGTACCATTAACAAAACTCAAATTCTAAAAGACAATTCTAAATTTTTGTTACACACCCCACCCTCTCAGATTTCATATCTCAAAATAGAAATCAAAATGTACAATATGCTTAGATAGCAAGACCTGAGTACATGTTAATAAAAACCCAATGTCCTTTGTTTTTTTTTTTCCAACTACTCATTTGCGTATTTCAAAAGGGCATGCTTTCTATCTTTATAAAACTTATATACTTTCCCCTATGCAACCTTCCACTCTGAATAGACTGTTGATATAATCTCAATCACAATATCACGTCTTTACACTATTTTATTTTATTTTTTCTGCAATACATTTTAGCACCCAAATTTGTGCATCCACTCCTCTCTTAAACCTACATATGAAAAAATATAAAACTATTTTTTTCAATAAAATAAAATGATCAAAGTACCCTTAAAAGTTTTAGGGGTATTTTGGTCATTGTATTTTATTAAAAAATTAAATTTGTTTTTAAGT